TTTGTCTTGCCACTTCCTGCATCATTTGCATGCCTCCTGGGTGCCATGGTTTCTTGGCAGATGCATTGTATGGTAATGAAAAGACCAAAACCTAATTCAGAGACAATGCTGGGTACCGCACTGGACGTGTATATTCCAAGCACTGGTACGGAGGTGGCAGGGTAGGAAACTAGGGCCTTCCCTGTAAAAGACAATGGCTTCACCCACAGGCAGACTGCCTGTGGGTGAGGGGAAGATCCCCACCGTCCAGCTTGCAGCGCTGAAATTTTTTCCCCACCGAGAAGCAGAACCGTTTAAATTGAATTTTACGAAGTGTAAAACGAAAATGTGCTGCAATTTGACAATAGTGTAATGGAGAAAACGTTTTAAAGGAAACCGTTTTAATTGACGGTCTACTGTATGTTTTTAAATACAATGACTGTCTTCTGCCAAGGCAGGGTGACCCAAAGAAGAAAACACCTCCACCAACATTCACTTAATTGCTTCCTTTCTAGAGATGTTCTGACACTTCAGTCAGATTATTTCAGATGCTTTAACAATTTTGAGGGCCTGTCCCGTAGTTCTACAGCTTTGAAGCCAGGGTCATTAGCTCAGCCCACTCAGAGAAGCTGTGAGCAGTAAATTCAGGCCTAGATATAAGAGAATGCATCTGTGTGGTAAATGTGCACCATATAAAACTAATACTGAAGCACGCAGTGCATAATAAGGAAAAAAACTGCAGCCATGCTTTTGGATTAAAATAGTGACTTTGAGGTGTATTTTCATATGGGTTTTACAGTTGTATTCATGGTTTCTTGTCCTCATTTGATAGAATGGAAGATATATTGCAGAAATATAGATTATTTTGATTTGTTTTAGTACTGAAAATAGCTTGAAATTGAGCTCAAAGTAGATGAAATGTTCGATTTTTGTTGATGTTCAAGAGTAAACAAATTGGATCACACATCCAATACACGTCAGCTGATGGGTCTAATGTGTGTTCATGAATGTGCTGATATTATTTACACATTTATTACAATATTGCATCAGAGTATATCTTCTATTTTTTGGTGTGAATAAAAATTGTTTATGTGAATAATAAATCAAAATGGAATTCATCTGTAAAGCCTGGAAACATAACTAATAAACAAAGGAAATGTTATTTTAGTGCCAGTAATGCCTGCACTGTTTAATCTGGACCTCATTTTGAAACTGGAATATTTTGAACTTTGTGTGAAATTGGCCAAATTACCAATTTTCGATCACTTTATTGGGTAATTGAAATAGTTGATTGGGCAATTTCTTGTGCTCGATAGATAAAATGGAATACATACTAGTGAAATAGCTTAGAATGTGGTCAAATGGAGCAATGTAATTTGCCAAAAATAGGACTCAAAGTGGGCAAAATCGACGATGCATAAATATTGTTGACACAGCAGAATTCGCGAGAGCGTAATTTCATCAATTTTTGATCAGATTCCGTACTTTTTGTTTTATTACGTTCAGAAAAATGTTCTCTACCATTTCATAAGAAAAAATAAGAATTTTTTTTTTTTAAAACTCTTGGATCCTGTGGGGAATTCTCAGATTAAGGGTCTGGACCCTCAGAGGGTTAAAAATGAAAAGAAGTATTATTTAGAGAAATAGAAACATTGAGCCAAAACTCGATGCATCGTATATTACAGTGGACCCTCGGTTATCGGCCATAATCCATTCCAGAAGCTCGGCCTAAGACCGAAATGGCCGAAAACTTAAATAATATTTCTGATGAGAATTAATGGAAATAGGTACAATTAATCCATTCCAGACAAAAATATTCACAAAAAAAAAAAAAATTTTTTTTAACAATTATATAAGTATTACATACCTTTATTGAAGGCTAATGCTGGCTTCTGGAAGATAGGGAGGAGGAAAGAGGGAGGAGTTAGTGTTTGGAAGGGGAATCCCCCTCCATAAAGACTTTAAGTAGCAAAGCCTTCTTTGTCTTTTAATGCCACTAAGACCAGCTTTAGAGTCACTGGACCCCTGTCGCACAACAAATTTGTCCATAGAGGTCTGTTTCTGGCGTCTCTAAGATTTCCCTGAAGAGGGACAGGGTTTTTTCACTGAACATGTTGCAGATATGGCTTGGTCAGGGTGGTGTTTCTCTACAAAAGCTTGCACCCTAGTCCACATTATACACACCTCTTTAACCCATAAACGGTCTAAACATATATACAGTAGGGCCCCACTTATACGGCGGGTTAGGTTCCAGGCTGTCGCCGGAAAGCAGACATCGCCGGAAGGCAGAACTCCATTTTTTCCATTTATTAATGCATATAAATGCCAGACAGCAAGTTTTCACTAAATTATATTAAGTTAGTAATAGAACTAGACATTAAAAACACACAAAGTAAAATACAGTCACGGTAAATTCATTACTTATCATAAAGTATTTGTAATCTTAATGTAGGGAGAGAGGTGAGTAGTACTTATTTGTAGGAAGTCAGGTGCAGGTAGCCCAGGTGTAGGTAGCACTGCTCCCTGTCTCATACTTAATATACGATATTTAAAACATCCCAGAGAGGTAAAATGCACATACAGTACACTCATTATTTACCTTAAAATATGTGTAGTCTTACTATAGGAAGAGAGGTGAGTAGTATTTATTTGTATAAAGTCAGTGTAGGTAGCCGGTAGGTGTAGCCTGGGCTACACCTACCGGCTACCTACACTTTGGCCCAGAGCCATATTATTAACATCGACATGCCATGTTCACTGAATTTAATCATTTCTAACAACTACCTTTAGATGTGCCACATAAACGAGGTAGAAGTAATGAATAATTCATGGCCGAAATTGTAAACAAAAGCGGAGTGGGGGAGTGGCTGGGCCAAACGCAGATTCATACACGTTTTCTCTGATGGTGAACAGAGAAAACGTAATGTGTCCCTCCACCCGGCTCCACAAGTATTATTATCAGAGCATATAAAATATGCATAATGCCAGACAACAAGTTTACACTAACTTATATTAAGTTAGCAATAGAAATAGGCATTAAAAACACAATAAAAGGTAAGATACACACAGAGTACACTTATTACTTACCTTAAAATATTAATATTAATGTGTGAGAGGTGAGTGGCAGGGTGTTTATATGAATAAAATCAGAATGGCACACCATCATCCTCTAACTTGGCACTTAAAGCAAGAGGCTTACAACTTCTCTTTTTATTACAGCTAACCTTAGACGCCATCGTCAATGAGAGCCAACTAAAAAAAGAGTAAACGAGAGAGAACGAGATACAGAGTTGAGACAATGTAAGAACTCAAACTGAAGAGGTAGTGGACGATCACTTGGTCAGGCGAAATAAATACGTATTAATATGTGTCTACTTTTAATTCATTCACGTCCATTTGTAAGAGTTTGTAAAACATTTACCTCAATATTTTTTTATTTTAATAATAATTACCTCACAATACAAATACTCTTACATTGTGCACAAGTTGTACAAGTTAGTTCAGAATAAACAAACGCAACACACCATTTTTAGAGTGAATGAGATAATATAATAATAAAATAATATAATATTATTATATGTTATTATTATTTTTATTTTATTATTTATTATTATTATTTATATTATTATTTATTATAAAAAGCACTAAACCCACAAGGGTCGTGAATGCTATACATAGAGTAAAGGCATACAAAAGAATATTTTTCTACAGTTACCCCCAGTATTTGACTAGAAAAAACGTAATTCTTCCGACACCACCTACACAGCTGCTTTGTAAACAAATCTCATATTTACGTCAATTTTTATTCTGAGTGTATGTATCATGTTTATATGCTGTGTAATGGGTTTCATATATAATTTTTGAGGAAAATCATAGATGGATTAATGAAAAAATGCCTATATTGATGTAAATAAGACATTTAGTGTGCCCAAGAGTGATTATTATTACATAGTATTGGCGTCATGAGTAGAGAGAGACTTAGCGATTTTAATGTGTATCTGCACACCAGCACAGTGTGTGAGTATATTTAGGTACAGGGACACATAAGTATAATTATCAGAGTACATATAAAATATGCAGTAACTTTAAAACACTTGAAATTTTGGAAAGTTTCCTGACATAATAGATGTGGTCACGGAAAATGTAAACAAACCGGGTGGGGGCGCCGTATTTAAAAGACCGCTTGCCGTATAGCAAATTTTGGTCATAATTTGACATCGCCGTATTAGTGGAACACCGTAAGGAGAAATGCTGTAAAGCGGGGCCTTACTGTATACGTTTTTACCGCTAGTGCCCCAAATGTATATATACGTTTTATTTTTCCTTCCTTCAAATTTGGCCTGAGATGCCTTGTCAGCATAGAATGGGTTCTAATACTCGGCGTGCATGGTATTAAAAAAATCTGGGACAACTTAGTACCTTGTGGGAGCACCAGTTCAAATGAGCACCAGCTAGAGGAAACAGCACAGCAAACACCTGGGATTCACTGATGGCATGTAATATTAACACTCCCATTTTAAGAGGAAAGTGATTTTGACCCTGAGTTTAGTGGCTTTGAGGTGGATGTGGACACAAGTGGTCGAGGAAATGTAAAAAAACCTTGATAATAACCCATGTGCAATATTTGTGCAACACCCTTTCAGAATGTCTTATAATCTATGCCCGAAGTAAAGAGAAACAAATCTGGCTGGCTGGCAGGCTGGCTGACTGACTGGCTGATTGGCTGGCTAGCTGGCTGGCCAGCTGCGTGGCAGCCAGCTGTATGGCTGGCCGGCTGCTGGCGTCCTGGCTCTATCTCCGTTTGTTTATCTGTATCTATGTCTTTCTGTCTCTCTGTCTCTATCTCTGTGTATCTCTGTCTGTCTCTGTCTTTGTCTCTGCCTATGTCTCTTTCTCTCTATCTGTTTCTGTTTCTAGTCTCTCTGTCTATCCCTGTCTGTCTCTGTCTATCTCTTTCTATCTGTCTGTCTTTCTCTGTCTCACAGGTACACATAAATACAAGTATACATAGTGTAAATTACCAGAAAAAGTGCTGTACTCTGCTTGAAGATGAGTCAACGTGATGACGATGCAGTCTTGTGGCTCGCTCTGAGACAGAGAGCTAGACGGATAGACACATAGACAGGGAGCTTGACAGACAAATAGACAGGCATGTTTGTGTACCAGCGAAAACAAAGCAGGCCCTAATCTTTTCTTATCAAGTATTATCACTGCACCCTTGCGAATGCTCAGAATGCTCATCAAACGTCAGCTCTCATCAAATGTTATCTCATCTTATCACGTCACTGTTAGGGGTGGACTTTCTTTGTCTTGCTTCAAGGGAACTTATTATTTTATTATTATTACCTAATCATCTCCCTCCCTCCCCTCCCCTCCCCCCTCCCTTATTATTTTACTTATTATTTTATTATTATTGCCTAATCATCTCCCTCCCCTCCCTCTCTCCCTCCCTCCCTCCCTCCCTCCTCTCTCTCCCTCCCTCTCTCTCTCTCTCTCTCCCTCTCTCTCTCCCTCCCTCTCTCCCTCCCTCTCTCTTCCTCCCCTCTCTCCCTCCCTCCCTCTCTCCCTCCCTCCCTCCCTCCCTCCCTCCCTCCCTCCCTCCCTCTCTCCCTCCCCTCCCTCTCTCCCTCCCTCCCTCCCTCCCTCCCTCCCTCCCATCCCTCCCTCATTCCCTCCCTCCTCCTCCCTCCCTCCCTCCCTCCCTCCCTCCCTCCTTCCTTCCTTCCTTCTTCCTTCCTTCCTTCCTTCCTTCCTTCCTCTCCTTCCTCCTTCCTCCTTCCTTCCCTTCCTTCCCTCCTTCCTTCCTTCCTTCCTTCTGTCCTTCCTTCCTTCCTTCCTTCCTTCCTTCCCTGTTATTATACACTTCCACATATCCAAAACATTGCTGGGACCTATAAATACTTTATATATCAATCAAATCAAAGTTTATTCTCTACAAGGATTACAATGCAAGGTTTACAGATTTGATTTGATTTGATTTGATTCTTGACTGTCCCTCACGTCCACACTCTTTCACATTGCCATCCCCTCACCTCCCTGGTGTTCATGTATTACTGAGGTCTCGAACAACTTTTCCAGGTGTTTTATGCATACAATAGTAGCTCTAGGTGTGGAAAGAAGCCAGCCAAAACACCAAACATTTTATCAGCACTGAGATTGTAAATTATCTAGAAAACACAATAAAGAATAAGCGATCCTACAGTGCAAACAACTAATAAATGTGTAAAATAAAAGAATAGAAACGCAAAATAATCATCCATGCTCAACTCCTACATGAAAGTTCGTCTGCAAGATGTGTTCGGATGCTTAATTTTTTTTGTACACGCACAAGAACTACTATAAATATATTCCAAGACAATAGTAAATGACTAAGGCAGGCGAAAATGTCCACCTGTCAATGTGTTTGTGACAATGTGAGTACAATTTCAGTACCTAATACTAGTGTCAGAACAAAGATTGGTTATGAAATGACAAGAACTACTATAAATTGTAATTATCAGAACATAAAAATTCTATAAAATAATAATAATAATAGTAGGTTGGTAAACAGCAACTGCCCAGGGAGGTACTACCGTCCTGCCAAGTGAGTGTACAACGAAAACCTGTAATTGTTTTACATGATGGTAGGATTGCTGGTGTCCTTTTTTCTGTCTCATGAACATGCAAGATTTCAGGTACGTCTTGCTACTTCTACTTACACTTAGGTCACACTACACATACATGTACAAGCACATATATACACACCCCTCTGGGTTTTCTTCTATTTTCTTTCTAGTTCTTATTCTTGTTTATTTCCTTTTATCTCCATAGGGAAGTGGAACAGAATTCTTCCTCCGTAAGCCATGCGTGTTGTAAGAGGCGACTAAAATGCCGGGAGCAAGGGGCTAGTAACCTCTTCTCCTGTATATATTACTAAATGTAAAAGGAGAAACTTTCGTTTTTCCTTTTGGGCCACCCCGCCTCGGTGGGATACGGCCGGTGTGTGTTGAAAGAAAGGATTGCTGGTGTCTTTTGTCTGTCTCATAAACATGCAAGATTTCAGGTATGTCTTGTTACTTCTACTTGCACTTAGGTCACACTACACATACATGTACAAGCATATATATACACACCCCTCTCGGTATTCTTCTATTTTCTTTCTAGTTCTTGTTCTTGTTTATTTCCTCTTATCTCCATGGGGAAGTGGAACAGAATTCTTCCTCTGTAAGCCATGCGTGTTGTAAGAGGCGACTAAAATGCCGGGAGCAAGGGGCTAGTAACCCCTTCTCCCGTATAAATTACTAAATTTAAAAGAGAAACTTTCATTTTTCTTTTCTGGGCCACCCTGCCTTGGTGGGATACGGCCGGTGTGTTGAAAGAAAGAATATGAAAAATGGAAAAAAAGATATATCGGCAACACTTCTACAAACTCCATGTTACCGCCAGGTGATCGCCAAGTGCCAACTTTGCGGTCTCATATCCCGGTAAGTACTGACCCTAAAAATTTCTTTTTATCTTATAACACTTAGAAAAATGTGCTCTTTTTTTTTAATAAAAAAAACGATTATTTTATTTTTCAAAATATTCGGGGCACTGGGTAGTGAACGTATGTATACGTTTGGACTGTTTACGGGTTAATCCTTTCAGGGTCGAGAAGCCCTCTCCTAAACTTGTTCTCAGGGTCGAAAATTTTTCGGGGAAAACAAAAAATTATTTTTTATTATGAAAAGATAGAGAATCTTTTCCCGATCATAATGACACCAAAAGTACGAAATTTGATGGAAAACTTACGGAATTATGCTCTCGCAAAGTTAGCGGTCTCGACGATGTTTACACATTGGCGATTTTGCCCACTTTGAGCCCTATTTTCGGCCAATTCCAGTGTACTATTTCGCTAGAACTCCATTTTTTTCTATCAAATGAGTACAAGAAACCACCCATTTACCGATTTCAACTATCCAATAAAGTGGTCAGAAATTAGCAATTTTGCCAATTTCACACAAATTTCAAAAGATGCTAATTCCCAAATAGGGTCCAGAATAAACAAGAAAGACATTCCTGGCACTAAAATAACATTTCCCCTGTTCATTAGTCACATCCCCAGGCCCCTCTTACATTTCTTTTGCTTTCCACTTCGAATTTTTATTCTCACAAAAAATAGATATACTGTTATGCAGACTACTGCATTAGTGTAGAAATGGTATAACTAATATCAGCGCACTTGTGGAAGAATATTAGACTCGCCAGTTGATGTGTATTGGACGCGTGGCATGATTTGTTTACTTTTGAACTTTGGCAAAAATCGAACATTTCTGCTACTTTGAGCTCAATTTCAAGGTACTTTTCATTGTGAAACCAATCAAAATCATCTCAATTTCTGTAATATGTCTTCCATTCTATATAATGAGACCAGGAAAACTAGAATACAAACATAAATACCATACAAAAATACAGCGCAAAGTCGCTGTTTTAAACCAAAAACACGGTCAAAGTTTCTTTTTCTCATTACGCACTGTGTGCTGCAGGATTTTTTTATACTGTGCACATTGACCAAAAGAGACCCATTCTTTCATATGTAGGCCTACCAGCTTTCTCTCGCTAGATTTGAAGGCGCTAGAATTTAGGCGTATTAGTACGTCAATAACCCTGGTGCATAAGCCGTACTAGTACCTTGGAAACCCTGAAAGGGTTAATCTCTGAAGAAGGCACCTTCTTCACACTCTCTTCCTCCTCCTCTGAAGCAAGTTCCTCAGTTGAAGCTCTTGCAGCTGTTCAGTGGTTAGCGCTTCCTTGTGGTCCTCCACCAACTCTTCCACATCCTCACCACTCACCTCCAACCCCAGGGACTTCCCCAGTGCCACAATAGAGTCCACAGGGTCGGCAGGGCCAGGGTCAGCCTCAATCCCTTCAAAATCCCTCTCTTGGACACAACCTGACCACAATTTTCTCCAAACAGAGTTCAAAGAAGTCCTGGAAGTCACTCCATCCCAAGCCTTACCTATAAAGCTTATGCAATTGAAGATAGTGAAGTGATCTTTCCGGAACTCTCTTAGGGTCAACTGAGTGTCAGAGGTCACTTCAAAGCACTTTTCAAGCACTGCTTTTGTGTAGAGTTTTTTAATGTTAGAAATGACCTGCTGGTCCATGGGCTGGAGGAGAGGAGTGGTGTTAGGAGGCAAGAACTTCACTGTGGTGAAATTGAAGTCCCTAAACACTTGGTCTTCCAAGTCTGGAGGATGTGCAGGAGCATTGTCCGGTACCAGGAGGCACTTGAGTGGCAGTTTCTTTTCTAGGAGGTATTTTTTCACACTGGGGCCAAACATCATTAACCCACTCTCTGAAAATTTGCCTTGTGACCCATGCCTTATTATTAGCTTTCCACATCACACACAATATATTCTTGACGACATTGCTTTTCTTGAACACACTGAGATTTTCTGAGTGATACACCAGTAAAGGCTTCACTCTAAAATCCCCACTAGCATTAGCACACAAAAGAGTAAGCCTGTCTTTTATAGGCTTGTGTCCTGGCAGTGCCTTTTCCTCCTGCGTGATGTAGGTCCTGTTTGGCATTTTCTTCCAAAACAGGCCTTTTTTGTCACAAGTGAAGACTTGTTGGGGTTCAGATCCTTCAGCCTTTACATAGTCCTTGAACTCCTGTATGTACTTATCAGCCACTTTTTTGTCAGAACTTGCAGCCTCTCCATGCCTTACAACATTGTGTATGCCACTACGCTTCTTAAATCTCTCAAACCACCCTTTGCAGGCCTTAAATTCGCTACCAGCCACACTTGTTTCTGGGGTTTTCTGTAGAAGATCCTCATGTAACTGCATTGCCTTCTCACAAATAACAGATTCCACAACACTGTCTCCCACTAAATCCACTTAATCCACAATAGCAAAAACTTTTCCATCTCTTCCATTATTGGTGACCTTTGTTTTGTTATAAAAGTTACTCCTTTCACAACATTAGCATCCTTGATTTGTTCTTCCTTTGCCTGGATGGATGTAATGGTAGATTTGTTTTTCCCGTACATCTTGGCAAGTTCCAGCACCCGCATACCACTCTCATATTTATTAATCACTTCATGCTTAAATTCCATGGTGTTTCTCACTTTCTTTACCAAAGGAACTTTACTAGGAACTTTCTTTGGAGCCATGGTTACTTATTTTGCAGTTGCACTGCAAAAAAACTCAAAAAACAATGGGAAACAAGCAAAATATTTTGATGTATGAGCAGAAGCTTCCTCACACACCGAGAGACACAGCTAGACTGATGCGCAAGCGGCCCCAACCGGTGGACTGGCGCGTCTGAAATGACCGATCACCGGGAGCCGAAAAACCGGCTGATGACCGAGTTGGCCGATAACAGGAATGACCAGTATCCGAGGGTCCATTGTACCATGGAGAGTTATACAGATTAATGAAGTAAAATTTTGATTTAATGGACCCTAATTTTGTATTTGGGTGACAAAATCAGTGGCAAACATCTGAAAGCATTGGACAAAGCCCATTATTGTCACTGTCGGCAAGGGTAAATGGAATTGTCTTATTGTTAAACTCACAGGAAAACAATCTCATCATTTGAATCTAACAGACATTTGGCTTTAACACACACTGCCCTTGCCCCTATTAGTCTGTTATTTTTTGGGGGGTTGTTTCCTTCATATTTACACTTATCAGCTACTTCTCACCAAGAACATTTTAGTTGCTTCCTGCGACATACCTGGCATACAGTGAAATTCCATGGATTATTACCTGCCTTCCCAAAGAAATTTCTCCAGGTTTATTTCTTTAAATACTTTGTTTGTTTCAGGGTGATGCAGATATGTTCTACAATACTTTCAATGGGCACCCATACAACAGTATTGAACCTGATATCTGCCGTTTAGTGTATGTTGCCCGAGTAGAGACCACTAAAGAATCGGAGAATGGTGGTCTTCCTATACCTGGTAATATGTTTTATTATCTTATAATTTGTCTTGGAAAGGTACCATATAAATGCAAAAGTGAATGTGAATGAATTAATTGCAAGAACTAAATAAGACTAAGACCTGTGGAAGTGAAACAGTGTAACAGTCTGAAGATTTGTGTACATGGATAAGATCATTTTATTTCCCAAGATGATACATTATAGTTACAACAGTAGGTTAAAAGTGCATATATCTTACAAGGAAAATTATATAATTGTGATAATTATGCATAGCATAATTATCATAATTATATAATTTTGTAGTTCTACAGCTTTGAAGACAGGGTCCAAGCCATAGTACTACATCATGAGCTCAGCTCACTCAGATAAGCTGTGAGTGGTAAATTTGGGCCTAGATATGAGAGAATACATCTATGTGGTAAGTGTACACCATATAAAACAAATCCTGCAGCACACAGTGCATAATGAAGAAAAAACTGCAACTGTGTTTTTGGATTAAAACAGCAACTTTGGAGGGTATTTTCATATGGTTTTTACAGTTGCATGCACGGTTTCTTGCTCTCATTTGATAGAATGGAAGATATACAGTAGACCCTTATATTACACTGTAGTTACATTCCTGAAATTGCCGTGTTAGATAAATCCATGTTAGATAAACTGAAGAACTCATGGGAAAAATAGGGTTACGTTCCTGGGAGCCTCAAAAAAGCCAAACAACTTTTTTGTAGACCTCCAGATCTTACAAAAAGTGAGTATTTAATTGTTGTTCATTGTTGTGATGTATTATGTTGCTTTTACTGCTTAAGACTACAAATGCAATAGAAATAATAGTAATTTCCTACCTTAAATTGTGGGTGCTGGTGTTTATCGATGATTGTGAGGAGAGTGGATAGTTATACTGTGGCCCTGTTGGGCTGAGGTGGATGGTAGAGGTTCTTGTACTGAATTCGATAGATATACTGAAGTGGGCATAAATTCTGTAATGGATTTCTGGGCTATTTTACCCTGTAGTACGTTATACAGCTGACAGTAAGGCATCAGCTGCTGTAGACACTGTTTCAGAGCACTATTTATAGATTTGTCAGGGTCCTATTCATTGAAAGTCTAACTTTAAGTCAGTAGGTCAGTCAAGTAAGACAGTAAGTCAGTCCAGTCAGTAAGTCAGTTAAATCAGCCAAGTCAGTCATTAACTCCAAGACTTAAATGCTTAACCCTTTTCTTGCCACTTTCAGCAACACTTGTATGCCTACTGGGTGCCATGATTGCTTGGCTGATACAAGATATGGCAATTAAAATATCAAAACACAATCCACAAACACAACTAGCTCCTGGATGCATATGAACGGAAGATTGGGACAGGGGATGGTGGTATGCCTCCTCTGTTGAGACAATGGTCTCACCCACAGTACGGTGGCAGCCTGAGAAATATCCCGTGGGCGATGCTCCATATTTTTTCCCCTCCCATAAACTGAACCATGTTAAGTTAATTTATGGAGTGTTGTATAAAATTATGCTGCAATTTTTCAATGGTGTAATAAACAAAATGTGCCAAATAAATCCATAGAATATAAGGGTCTACTGTATTACAGAAATAGAGATGATTTTGATTGGTTTTAGTATTGAAAATAGCCAGGAATTGACCTCATAATAGAAATGTTTGATTTTTGCCAATGTTCAAGAGTAAACAAATCACATCATGCATCCAATATGCAATGACTGGTGGGTCTAATATATGTTCACGAATCCACTGATATTATTTATACAATTATTACAGTATTACATAACAGTAAAGCCTCTATTTTTTGGTGTGGATAGAAATCCTTTATGTGAATAAAAAAGCAAAATGGAATTCATCTCTAAAGCCTGGAAATATAACTAAAAAACAGAGGAAATGTTACTTTAGTGCCAGGAATGCCTGCATTGTTTATTCTGGACCCTATTTTGAAATAGGAATATTTTGAACTTTGTGTGAAATTGGCCAAATTACCACTTTCTGATCACTTTATTGGGTAGCTGAAATAGATGAGTGGGCAGTTTCTTATGCTCAATCAGTAAAATAGAAGTGATACTAGTGAAATAGCTAAGAATTTGGTTGACTGGAATAATGTAATTTGCCTAAATAGGAGTCAAAGTGGGCAACTGCCAATGCATAAATGTTGGTGATGCAGCAAAATTCGTGATAGAGTAATTTTGTCAGTTTTCCTTCAAATTTCGTACTTTTTGTTTTATTACCTTCAGAAAAAGATTCTCTACCATTTTATAAGAAAAAATAAAAAAAATTGTTTTTGAAAACTCTTGGATCCTGTGGACAAGGCGTAGAACAACGGGGTGGACCCTCAAGGGTTAGTGTAGGACTCCCTCTGTATAGAGAGCAAAAATCAAGATAGACAGTACTTTGGTTTCCTAAAAATTGTAGAAATTGTAGCAAAAGCAGACTAGGTACTACAGGTAGCAGTTAAACTCACTGGCAGCCAAAGAATCATTGACAAATTTAATCCATATTTGGAGCATCTGAAAACACATCCCCCTTCTCAAAAAAATTTGTCTGAATAATGCTGTCTCTTCAGTGTCTCTAGCATTGCTTCAAATTTCATAGCCTTGCACAGGCCTTTCCTAGATTAAAAAGAAGCTAATAGTCCCTCTAAAGTTCTCTAAATAAGTCCTAACCCATATGACCCTAAGCACAAGAAAGGAATAATAGTTTCTCTCAGATTGCATCCTACTAATTTTTACAACCATAATCAGGTCTTGATTATGGCATAGATCAGCTGATTTTTTCACAAAATGTAAATGCTCCCTAAAATTGAATACTTAACCCTTTGACTGTTGCAAGCCCCTTTCTGAAACTGTCATTGTATGTCGCAAAATTTTAGGGGGGGGGATTTTTCTTATGAAATGATAGAGAGAATCTTTTCCCGATGGTAATGACGCCAAAAGTACGAAATTTGGTCGAAAACTCACGGAATTACACTCCCACGAAGTTAGCGGTCTCGGCGACATATATGCATCGGCAATTTCATTGAATTTGAGCCCTGTTTTTGGCCAATTCCATTGTTCCAGTTGACCAAACTCATAGCTATTTCTTTAAAACTCCATTTTTTCTATCAGTTGCATACAAGAAACCGAGCATTTATCGATTTGAACTACCCAATAAAGTGGTCAGAAATTGGCAATTTGGCCAATTTCACGCAAATTAAAAATGATGCCAATTTCAAAATAGGGTCCAGAATAAACAATGTAGACATTCTTGGCACTAAAATAACATCCTCTGTTCATTAGTCACGTCTCTAGACCCCTCTTATATTACTATTGCTTTCTATTTTGATTTTTTATTCATACAAAAAAATACAAAATTTACTGTTATGCAGACTACTGCATTATTGTAAAAATGGTATAAATAATATCAGTGCACTAGTGAAAGAATATTAGACTCCCCAATTGGCGTGTATTGGATGTGTGATGTAATTTGCTTACTCCTGAACATTGGTAAAAATCAAACTTTTTTGCTACTTTGAGCTCAATTTCAAGATCGTTTTCATCATGAAAGTAATGAAAATCATCTCTATTTCTGTAATATATTTTCCATTTTATCACTTGAGACCATGAAAACGAGATAACAATGATAAATACTATACGAAAATACACCTCAAAGTCGGCGTTTTAACCCTTTCAGGGTCCATACCGTAGATCTACGGCTTTACGTTCAGGGTCCAAACCGTAGATCTACGCTATGAGCTCAGCTCACTCTGATAAGCTGTGAGCAGTAAATTTGGGCCTAGATATGAGAGAATACATTTATGTGGTATGTGTGCACCACATAAAACAAATCCTGCAGCGCACAGTGCATGAGAAAAAAGAACCGAGACCGTAATTTTCGATTAAAACAGCGACTTTGCAGTGTTTTTTTCGTATGTTTTTTATAGTTGTATTAGCAATTTCTTGGTCTCATTTGATAGAATGGAAGATATACTACAGAAATAGAGATGATTTTGATTGGGTTTAGTACTGGAAATGGGTTGAAACTGAGCTCAAACTAGCAGAAATGTTAAATTTTTGCCGACGTTCAAGAGTAAACAATGACCTCACAAGTCTAATACATGACAGCTGGTGGGTCTAATATACATTCACAAATGTGGTGATATTATTTATAGAATTATTACAGTATTGCATAACAGTAAATCTTCTATTTTTTGGTTTGAATAAAAATTCATTATGTGAATAAAAAATCGAAATGGAATTCATTTGTAAAGCCTGAAAACGTAACTTATGAACAGAGGAAATGTTAGTTTAGTGCCAGGAATGCCTACATTGTTTATTCTGGACCCTATTTTGAAATTTTAATATTTTGAACTTTGCATTAAATTGGCCAAATTACCATTTTCCGATCACTTTATTTTATTGTTGAAACAGTTGACTTGGCGATTTCTTGTGCTCAATCGATAGAATAGAAGTAATACTAGTGAAATAAATGGGATTAAATCTGGAGTATCTGAGAGAGTTAGAGCAAAGGAAGGGGTAGCAGTAATGTTAAATGATCAGTTATGGAAGGAGAAAAGAGAATATGAATGTGTAAATTCAAGAATTATGTGGATTAAAGTAAAGGTTGGATGCGAGAAGTGGGTCATAATAAGCGTGTATGCACCTGGAGAAGAGAGGAATGCAGAGGAGAGAGAGAGATTTTGGGAGATGTTAAGTGAATGTATAGGAGCCTTTGAACCAAGTGAGAGAGTAATTGTGGTAGGGACCTGAATGCTAAAGTAGGAGAAACTTTTAGAGAGGGTGTGGTAGGTAAGTTTGGGGTGCCAGGTGTAAATGATAATGGGAGCCCTTTGATTGAACTTTGTATAGAAAGGGGTTTAGTTATAGGTAATACATATTTAAGAAAAAGAGGATAAATAAGTATACACGATATGATGTAGGGCGAAATGACAGTATTTGTTGGATTATGTATTGGTAGATAAAAGACTGTTGAGTAGACTTCAGGATGTACATGTTTATTAGAGGGGCCACAGATATATC